TATATATATATATATATATTAGTATGTATGTTATATATATATATATATGGTTTATCTACTTATATCTGTTTACTATCGCTTACTACCCTTACCGTCCCAAATGGCCTGGAGAATCGGCAGCATGGGTTTTCCGGTGCTCTCGAATGCCTTGAGGCTATTGAGAACATGGAGCCACCTGCTGATCGAAGAAGGCTGAAGCTTTATGACGGGTTTAGGGTTTAGGGGTTTAGGGGTTTAGGGGTTTAGGGGTTTAGGATTTAGGGCTTAGGGTATGATCTTCTGCTGTGTGGGACGATGCTGATATTAGTGAGGTGTTGCGATGCACCGTTGGACGCGCAATACTTCGTGCTTGGGCTTATAAAACCAGAGCCAAAAGCCTTACAAGCTCTGCTCCAGGTCCTAAACCCCTGAGATCTAAACCCCGATCCATCCCAAAAATACATGATCAAGCCCGGAACCTTTTGTCCTGAGACTCCTGCTGCCTAGCCGCTGAGGGTTTCGGGTCAAGGATATTCAGGATAGGGGCCTCAATCATTCCAATAGGATGCTGGAGTATATTGAAGAAAACTAATGTGGGATACGGAACCCAAGGAATAACAGAGGTAACTGATCTGTCAGGCTCCTATACTCGGTGGCTTGGGGTTGCAGAGCATGCCAACCCGTCACCGATCACCCCGCCATTAGGTCGTACAGCTTGCAGCTTACAGCAGAGACTGTAAGCGATTTAGGCCCAGGGTGTTTCGGGCCGGATATTGGGAGAAACATGATGCAACATCCCTGAGCTGGCATCACACCCTCGCCCTGAACACCAAAGACCAAATCCCTGATGTACGGACCTTCATGATCAGAATGAAGTGTTCTGTATAATATGACGAAATTACACAGACACGACATGGGCATGGGCACATTCCTACATACTGTTCAGACGATTTCAGACGTCTCTATGTCGACACCAGACAAAGAGCACGGTTCAGGGATAAGGGTTTTGGAGTTTAGGGGCCCTCGTCGACCTTGAACCCCTAAACCCTAAACCCCTAAAGCCTAAACCCCAAGCCGCTAAACTCGCCCACCTTCACCAAACCACGGCTAAGGCCCACCCTTGAGCCCTGAACCCCGAATCCTGCCCAACCAACCTAAGCCCTAAACTTTAGGGTTTAGGCGTTTATGGTTTTAGGGCTTAGTGTTGTTTTATTTACGTTCGAAACAAAATCCAACACCCTAAAAGCCCGAATCCTGCCTCAAGAAGCCAGTAAAGGCGAATATGAGCCTCACATTTCGGGCTCGGGTTGCACACACATACTGGAGTCACCGGGAGGTGCTTCGATTTCGTTGGGGCTTGCATGGATTGAAGCGCAGGACCCAAAACCAACAACTCTCAAGCTGTTAACCTGCAAACCCTGCTTCAACGCTTAGGAGCGTGTAGGTTTAGGTTTTGGTGGGTGGCGTTCTACGCCCTGTACACCCTAAGCTCTGACTCGAAACACATCCGAAGACAACCGCCAAAACAACCTCCACACCCCGCAGGAGTCGGCTGTTCTCAGCGAAGCTTGGTTCGAGGCTTGTGCCCGGTGCTTATGAAGGTGTTTGCAGCTTGCAGTTCACATAAGCGCCTTCGTATGTAGAATGGGTTTTGGGGCATGTTACCCTATGCCGACACTAAGGAGCCCTCATCCGGCTTCCACATGCTTCCATGAACAAAACCTGCCTGCAGAAGCACATGAAGTCCTAAGGCAGGGTCCATGAGAAAGCTCCTTGTAGAGTGGCAGTTCCATCATTCAATATCTGGGACCTAACAAAGGGGCCTTCACAATCAACTTTGGGTGTAATTTACTTTTGCACTATGGGATTAATTAGTCCTTTAGATGTGTAACTATAGTTGTTCTGTCCTCTCCACCATTAAAGCACTGCTGTCTGCTGCATTCTGAAACTCCCCAAGAACTGAAAACAAATTCCGAACCCCTAGTCATCCTCTACTCGAACCAACGGCCCAAATCTTAAACGCTCAAGCTTAAACCCCTAAGCCCTAACCGCCTAGACCGTGTAGAACCCATAGAACCCAGCAAGTGGAACCCTGAAAGGAGCCCCCCCAACCCCGAATCAGACGCCATAGCTGCTGGAGCGAGTGATCCTGTATGAAGTTCTCCCAGTTCCTCGGCTCGCCCGGTTGGGCCCAAAGCCCAGACCAACAAGCTGTGTGTTTCATTTTTTCCCAGGTTTCTGTGGTGTTCCCAAGCATGTTACGAGCCTGCTGTGACAGCTTAAAGAGCAAATAACATCATGCTCTGAATAGTAAGGACCTAACGAAGCAGTTTGGGGGGGCAGAACATGAACAAGTTACCGTCGGAACTAATCATAACTTCTACGGTGTCTACGGTTTCAGACCTTCAAGAGGTTCATGAAAATCCCATACTCTAAATCCTCAAAACCCACATGCAACAACTGTCAACACGACTGTTTCTGACTCAGCCCTCCAACGAAAGACACAGAGGATAGACACGATATATTTAGCGCTATCACCAAGGACTCCGAAATTCAATAGCCAACTGTGAAGCCTTTAAATACCACTATGCTGTCCCTATACGCTCTTCTACATACATGGTTTAGGTTTCAGGGCTTTAAAGGGTTTTAGGCTTCAGGATTTGGGGTCTACGTACCTCCATGCCGCCTGATAAGCACCCGTGCAAACGGTACCACCCACCCAAGCAGACCCTAACCTTGCACCCTAAACCGAAAGCCCGAAAGCCCTGAACCCTGAACCCCAAAACCCCCCAAACCCTACCTATAGTCTCCATTGTAGCTCCTTCTGGGGGATACCTTATAAAAATCCTTAATATGTAATTGGTTAAACCCAAAAAATGGACTACAATGGAGACTGTAGATTAACCTCAACTTGTTCATTCTTCAAGGCGCCAGGCGAGGCCGATCAAGGAGGTGCCAGTCATCGCAATGCGAAGAGTGTCGCCCACAAACCCAACAGAGCAAAGGTACCTGCTGTAAGGCGTCGGGTTTAGGGTCTCGGGTTGAGGGCTTTGGGGTTTCGGGCTTTGTTTTCAGCGGTTTAGAGCTTGTCTAATGGCTTAAGGGTGTAGGGTTTAAGGGTTAAGCTTCGGTGTGAGCCTTGCGGCCTACATGACATCGTGCGGGTGGCAACCCTGCACCGAATGAATGCGTGCTGTTTCTGCTAGCAACGAAGGGGTGCTAGCGGCAGCATTTTTGGCTACTGGCGGTCTATCAAATCGAAGGACCGATGAACTCCCCAAAGGCTAAAGAAAACTACAGGTGGTGAGTTTAGGGTATATAGGGCTTCTACAAGGCTTCCATAAAGTATATAGACNNCACCTGAAAATGTCCTAGACCAAAAGACAACCATGAAGATCGCGACTTCGTGCAAGCCGGTGTTGCCACGACTCAGATCCGAACTCGCCCCAGAACTCCTACTGTACAGGAAACTGTGGATTGATAGTGTTTAGGGTTGGGAGCTGCAGGTTCCGCTGGCCGAAGGTGCAAAACAAAATCTGCTTTTTTTCTTATATGTAGGGGCCCCAGAAAATTCATATGAGGGTTTCACATATAGGACCTTATGAGGTTATGGTAGCTCCAGGTCCGCAGGACTCCGAAACAGGAACACAGCGTCCACACAAAGGAAATCACTCCTGAAAGCTCAAGGGAGCAAGTAGGTTGTAAGTCGGTCTGCAAGTAAGGTCACCACAATTCCAGTACTTACAGCTCCTACTAAAACCCGAAACCCCAAATTCCTAATCCCTCAACCTTCAAGCACACCCCACCCCGGGCCCCTCAACAACAATTACCCCCCACAGTGGTTCGACTCTCGACTCATTGCGTTCCTACGACTCCTCTCCCACCCCAGCTGCGGTTCTTGTTGTTTTGTGGGATATTATGCTACATTTATGATAAGGACCCCCCCCCAAANNATTAAGGCCCCTATATTATGGTTTCTGGCTTCGGGACTGGGGGTCCAGGGTTGAACGGTTTCAACGATCAATCTTGGGTTTTGCGGATGCGAGCTGAATCATCGGACATCCTTAGTGAAGCCCGAACCCCTAAACCGTAAACGGACCAGCAGAGGTACTGTTTCAGCTTTCCATGGGCTGTGTGGCCCACACCTGGTTGGCATGGGTGGATGCTTTCCTTGACCATGCTGTGAGAAGTTCGCTTTGACACTCCATGGTTGACTTCAACAGCATAGTTTCGACTAAGGTTTCGAGGGGTTGCCGGAATCATTCAGACCTCTACAGCAGCATTGGGAAGCGCTCTGCCAAGGCAACCTGCGTTTAGGATCACATCTTTGCCAAGACTTTACGGTAGGCGGACCCTATAGACCCTAAACCCTCAAGCCCTACAGACCCTAAACCCTCAAGCCCTATAGACCCTAAACCCTCAAGCCCTAAGCCCTAAACCCACGTCCCTGAGACTGGGCTGTGTGAGAAGGTTTTCCAATTCCCAAGCGTAACAAGAAACCTGGCTGCCTCTCAGCTCTTCGAAAGGTGCGGATCAGGGTTTAGGGTTCAGGGTTTAGGGTTTAGGGTTGGTTCATGATGGTGTTGGGGCTAGGGTTTGAGGATTAGGGATCAGGGTTTAGGGTTTAGGGATCAGGGTTTACAAGGGTTTAGGGCTCGCAGCGTAGGGTTGTGCACTTCGATTTGGATTCACTTGGCTTGTCGAGCCTATGTTGCTGCTAGCTCGGCCATTCGCAGGCACCCTGGAAAAGTTCAAAAGCACACAAATGCAAACAAGAAGCACGACAAGATCTCTTGACAGACTTTATGCAGCAAGATCAGGCCAGAAACGACAAGAGCCGGGATTCGAAGGTCAGAAAGTCTCTGCAAGTGCTCGTCGTGCAGCAGGAGCGCCATCAAAGCAAACAGCAAAGCCATGAGGACATCCAAGACGAGTTCAAAGATTTGCCAGCCAGATGCCTCTCTGGATGCCAATTGAAGAATAGCCTTGGGTTAAGAGTCGATAAAAGCTTCTACTTGCATCTCTCTCTCCCTCTATCTCACACTCGCTCTCTCTCGTTCGGATAACCTAATTAGGCGGGAATTCGTAGGAAGCTGACAAACTGAACTAGAAAGTATCCTGCGATTGCAAGACCCTAAACTCTAAACCCCAAGCCCTAAAGCCTGCAAACTTAATATAGGGGCCTTAATAATGATTACCTATACTATTTTAGGGTTTCCCTATTATAATTATAGTATAGTATACCCCAAAACCCTAAATCTAATTATTGAGGCCCCTACATTAACAACGAAGTGTCCTGCGCACCCTGCTGGTCGAATATTTTCCGGTTGACGCCAGAAGACAATACCCATAACACCTTTCCGGGGCCACGCTGGCAATTTTTTCGGGTTCCAGCTACTGCAGCTACTGGTTTTGAGGTTTCAGGGTCTAGGGTGCGAGCCGGAAAGTGGTTTTTGCATGTGTCTTGGACATCAAGCCTTGGTTTCCCCACCGAAATGGAACCCCAAATCATGGACTGAATTCCTCGGACAATCAATGGGCTTCCTACTACGACCTTGAAGATCTCGAAGAATAGCTTTTAACTTTGAACGTCAAGACCGCGGCTCCCCCCCTAGGCACCTCTGGATTTCGATGCAAGCCAGGTAGGACGCACTGGAAAATGTCGACTGGCACTTGCGATTCTCCTGGAACCTTTTCGAAACGCCAGGGCAGCAGGTGCGAGAAGAACTGCTCCTCTGATCCATCGTCCTGCCTGAGCTCAAGCGCTTAGGGTTTAGGGTTCAGGGGTACAGAAACAAAGCCTCGTCAGAAAGAACAAAGAACACAGCTCGGCGGTTCTGTTTGAGGGTCTGATAGCACCAAAGTACAGCATAACATAATCACTGTTCCCAGATACTCTGCGGAGACTCCACAGACACGGCCCATCTCTTGCTGAAAGCGGGATTCGAAATGATCCTGGGCAGGACCGACCGCCACATTCATGGCACCGTGCGGGACGTAGGCTGTTCGCCAGACTCTTCCTTAGCCCAGAAGGGGGTATGTTATACCAACAGGATATGGGGGTTTCCGAAAATAGGGTACCCTAATATAGTACCCTTAATAGTAGGATCCTTCTTACAAGGACACCAATAAGGTACCCTTAATTTTCAGAAACTCCCATACAATCAGGAACCTTAATCTTGGTAACCAACCCGGTCCCAATGTTATTTAGACTCCGAGTCAGTAGTTCCTCTTGTTGGCTACCTTGCCTCCAAGGTTTAGGGTCCTAACCTTAATCAGTCGAACCAAAGAAGCAACCAGAATGGAGACTACTGTCTGGTGCTTAGTAGGGAATGGGGGAATGGATCCCTATGATAGTCCCTTAAGGTCCCCTATAGTAGTCCCTATAAGCCATTCCCCCATTCCCTACTCAGCACCAGACAGACTAGGGGTAGGGCTTGGGTCGAACTAGTTGGGTTTGATGAACTGAGACTTGGCCCCAAAGCCCACCAAACTTCGGCTGAAACAATAAGCCCCCACAAGTCCGAAGCCCAAAACCCTAAGCCTACTCTAACACCTACCTTCTTAAGGCTCCCTATTATGATTTCAGTACAGTATACAACCTTAAAAGGATAGGTTCTTTAGGGTCCAGGGTCCAGGTATAGCTTAAGCCGACTCCTTCAAGTCCCCAAAGATCTCAAGATGTGATCACATATTGTAGGGGCCTAAAGAATTACCAATACTATGTTGGGGGGTTCTTATTCTAACTATAGTATAATGGGCCCCGAAACCCCTT